TCATTTCCTAAACACTGCCTGTTTTCTGTTGATGTTCAGATTTATATGAACACAAAAGTCAGGAAAGACATAAAAAAAGGGTTGACCAATGTAAAGATTCCCGTTTATGTGCCATTTTGACATGTGTGCGTGTCCTCATTGTCTACAGAGCATACACACAGCTGAGAAAGGTCAGAGGACTTTTGCGAATTTCCCAACCCTCTACAACTTTCTGCAGTTCTAGTGGTAAGAATGCCACAACACCCAGTACACCAAATCAGTCTTAATACTTTATTTTTCATTTTTTTAGTTGGACATTCTGGGTATGCATTATCATCATTTCATCTTTATTAAAAATATGCACTTACAGTAGCACCAAAATAAGAGTGCTAGGGCTTTTCTAATGCCATCTCCTAGGTGTGCAGACTTTCACAGTTGAGAGTGTTGAAGGGTTCACATTTCAAAATACAGCTCTGACCCTCCCACTCCCACAAACCACTTGGGAGCCAGTCAGAGCATCAAGCTGTTGTTTGCTATTATTGCTTTTCTGCTTCATTTTTGATGAAGCATGCTTACAAGCAGACCCTCACAGAGTTCTTCTATAAAGGGGATCCACCTACCAGTGTCATGCTGATTTCATCTGTCCTCCATGCTGTACGCAGCCTTTCAGCTGTGCAAAACAAACTTGGGGGAAGATGAGGGGAAGAAAAGCATTAACTACATGGTTCCTCTATATTTTGCTTTGAGGAAATTCTCAGTCCCATGTTGTTTAAAATGAATCCAGCTTTAAACAGGGCATGTGGGGGGGTGTTTTGTTTTTGCTGACTCTGCAAACTGATACTTTGAGTGAATTGTTTAAGGAAAGCAGAGAAGCAAAGAGTCCTTTATTATGTCCGTCACTGCCAAGTGATTTGGCAGATTCCTTCATGAAGTGCACTGTGTGATAGGTTGAGAGAGAGCTTGACTGGCCAGTTACCAGCAGAAAAGCTCAACTTAAATACTTTTAAAATCTTATTATGGCCAATTTGTGGTTTTGGCAGAAGAAAGAAATAGGATGAAAAATAGAGGCAGCTGGGTGTCAGTGAGGGATGGAATATTGAGGTACTTTTCATTGCTGTGCCACTCAAAATCCACTGGCTTTGTACGTTCGTTGGATCCAGCTAAGGCAAACACACCCACTGGCTAAGTACACCTGCAAAGGTGGTTTCATTTGTCTCAGCATTTGTCCAAAGTCAAAACAGTACGAAGGATCTGTTGCCTATGCCTTGATCTTGACATTGAGATGTACTTGAGCAAGGGCTAATTTCTCATCCTTGTAGAAAAATCTGTTCAGTTTTGATCCTCCCCAAAGGCCTACCTGTCCTGGATGAGGTAAATCCTTGAAATATCTGAGTGAACACATACACAAGTTTTTGCAGACATGGATAGAAACCAGGCCAGAGACTACCTGAGCCTACAGGCAATGGGACAGCGTATGTTAACATGGTAACAACAAAATATTGTGCCATTATTAATAGGGGCATAACTCTGCCAGGTTAACTCTGGACATAAATAAATCCCTATCTGCAGAAAGAGTAAGAAGAGATAATGCTCAGTACAGGAATTGCAAGATCTAAACACCAACCAAGGCCTATTATTAACCACCATTCAAATGGAGCTGGGGTTGGGAGGGAATAGGAGGCTAATGGTTTAAACAAGGTAAATCCCACATTCTGTAAAAGAAGGGTCTTTAAGTTAATATCAAATGACAAAATGCGTATTCTTACTCCTTTTTGGCACTTGGCTAAGAACTCTGGTGAAAACAGCTCTTGCCCTCCAGCTGGACGAGGGCTGAGATACCTCTGCTGCAGAGCGACTGGGTGCTCGAGCACCCTGCGGGCAGGGCTGGCTGCTTCTGCGCCAAGGAGCAGGCTGTTTCTTGGAAATGTTTGTGCAATTCAGCTGTGTTGCTGCTGGAGCCAGACACTTTAAATAATATTAAAGAAAAAAAAGAAAAAAAGAAAACACCCAGTCTCAGATCTCTCAGGCCGTTAGTGTATCTCAGTCAGGTTTTGCCTTCCACCAAATACTGTCAAATATCTGTTTTGTTTGGATCTGAAGGGTGGAGGGAGTTGGAGAATTGCCTTTGCTGCTGTCAGTGCTTCCTAATGATGTTTCTCGCTAGAGAAAATGAGCTTGCTTGTTTGAGAATCCAAATTCCCTGTGGGGCACAGTTAGGGAAACTGAAGATATGGGCAGGAAAATAATATCTGTTAGGGCAACATATAAACATCCATAAAGCAGAATAGCAAAACACCTACAGAGAATGCTGTACCTTTGCCAGCAAGTTAATTAAAGTCGCTGACTAAGGAGGGAGCTGTGACAGTCGAAAAGTTAAAATAAAAATAAATCAGAAGTTTAGTCTAGCAATTATAACAGGAAATTACCGACAGAGTCAGGGCTCCTACATTCTTTTCCTGGTTCTGTTTCCGATTTGCTGAGAAAGTTAGATAAGTCAGATTTTAAAAGTAGCTTCTAATTTGGAAAGCCTCCATTTCTAATGCCCGGCTGTACACACAGACTTCACAGACCAGCATCTTCAGTGCCCCCCTGTGCATTTGTGAGGGCAGAGCATTTCAGGGCATTGGTGTCTCTGAAGTCAACTACCAGACCTGGAGAAACCCACAGTTACAGGCCTGCCCAAAGCAGCCATCCCTGAAAGCTTCCTGTCTGTGAATTGTGGCTGGCGCAACATATTGCGGTGGGAGTCTGAAGTTTAAATGCTCTTTATGGCTGACATAACATATTGCAGTGGGAGTGTTATGTTTAAATACTCTTTGTAAACATTTACAAGACTTCTAAGACACACTCTGTCTCCAAAGTCAGTGTTATTACTTTGGAAATAATGAACTCTGTGACCTGCACGTTTTCTGAAAGGACTGCTGCTTGGTAGGGGCAATGAAGCTGCATTCCCAGGTCTGACTGCAGGAGGAGTTTTTAAGTAGAGTGTGACTTAGAGAATCAGAAATAGCTTGCTTCTGTTCAATAACATAGCCCCAATTGAAACTGCAAATAAAGAAATCTGTGATGCCTCAGGAGCAGGGGGAAGGTCTCTCAATCATGAGAGCTCTCTTTATACTGGGTTCCTATTCAATTCCATGAGAATTTCTAAATGAAGAGAGCATGTGGCTCCTTCTTACACTGACTCGTGCTACGAGCTCCTCAGAGGCAGAACCAAATTAAGTGTCCAGGATAAGGATGTCTCCATAAATTGACATTTTCCTGCCCTACATTCAATTGCAATCTCTCATCCTTATCAAGGGACACCATGGATCAGAGGGTTACACTCTGGGTGCCTGCCAGCATTCGTTTAGTTGTGGAAGTCAGAATGTTTCTCATTACAGCAATGAACTTTTTTTTTTCTTCTGTGCAATACTACTGCACATACGTGTGTCCTGGTGTCAGCTTCATCTTTGCAATGAGCCAGAATATTTACAGTGGCTTGTCAGACTGAGTGTCATGAAGCAAATTATTATAGATGTGATCGGATCGCTACTGATCTTCTAAAGAATATTGCTGTGCTGAGGAATAAGCATAAAAAACCCCAGAGAATGTTGTTTACTGACACTACAGAGGAAAAAAAAGGCCAGAGTAAGTTTGTAGTCCCCTGCTCTTCCACCCACCGCATGCGGGGGAAAGCGCACTCCATGTTCCTTTGCCTCTTGCTCCCACGTGCAGCCCTGGAGGTAACACAGTGTACACCATCTCCATCAGCCACGGGAGCGGAGCCTCGGAGCTTCTGCCAACCACCTGCTTTTGCAGCCCATGTTTTCACATCGAAAGCAATTTGGACCTACACACTGAGAAATTGTACAAGCTCCCAAAACAAAAAACAAATGCCTTCCCAGCATGATGGGTCATTTAACCTTCGTAAACTTTGTCTGGGAACCTTAAAAAAGAAAAGCTGCTTAGGCGTGACATAAAAATAAGTGACAAGGAATCCTTTGATAGGTGATCATACGACTCTGCCACTACATAGGCAAAAGAAATCTCCCATTAGGCAACAACAAACTAAACATAGTGAATACATGGACAGTATTTCAACACCTGCTAGAGACTCTGGAAAATGGCATCATCTTTGCAGTTATCTTAGGACAGCTATATGCAATACTCTCATCTTCACACTAACATATTAATTTATCAGGTACCTTGCTATATTTTGTTAAGTACAACACACAGTTTTAGTGAGTGAATGTATTTACAAAAAATAAACCTAAGATTTGCCTAAAATCATTGTCAACTCTTCTAACTTCCCTAGATAAAAAGGTTTTCTTTAAGGAACATTTGACATTTGGATATCACAACAGCCCATTTGAGAATCCCTTCCTGTTTCCTTCAAAAGGTAGAAATCAGTGAAACCATTTACCATGAGCAAGAAACCAGACAAATTTAATAAACATTATTGTTTCCACTAATCAAAATGTCTTTCCTTCATACTCAATCCCAGTTTGTGCACTCCCATATGATAATCCACATACTAATGAATTGCCAGTATTTAATTCTTTACAGGCTGTGCAAAGCTGAATTATTAAAAATCTTCTTAATGTTAGGTTTCAGTGGAGAATATACTAGATTTCTTAACTAGAATTCCTAGTTAAGAAGTAGTCCTTTAGTAGTGAGCTACTCCTCCAGATTATATATGTATTACTAGCAATATGTATGCAATAGAGATGATCTTATGATGAAGCCAATATTAAAACTGTTGGAGGAGGTATTTAGAAATATGCCTGTGCACTATGTTCAAGGCCGCTACCAAGTATTATAAGTCCTCTTGAAATTTTGAACACTTCTTACAGAAACAACTCTCAGAACTGTTAAACTCTAGCTTCAACATATGTACTCTCTATTAAGGGGATATGACCTTCCTGTCTGCCTTCAGTATCTTTTGCCCAAAGTTTCCTAATCAAAAAACCCTTTACTTTTCTGCTACCCACCCCCCACCCATTTTCAGTCATTCATTGCTACTTCCCTTTGTTTTGTAGGCTCGTCCAAAAGGAGAAGGCCTGACACCATACCAGGGCAAGAAACGCTGCTTTGGTGAATATAAGTGCCCCAAATGCAAGAGAAAATGGATGAGTGGAAACTCCTGGGCTAACATGGGACAAGAATGTATCAAGTGCCACATTAACGTTTATCCTCACAAACAGGTAGGAGAAGTGCAGACCTGCTGGCAACAGTCTTGGAACCAGGAATGCTCTTGACTTTGTAAAGTGTGGGTAAGGGTTAAACAGAACTTCACATGGAACAGCATATCACAGAAAATGGTTTCCCAGATGAGCTGTTTGTCTCAGTCCTGGAAATCTGGAGAGGTGTCAGAGTTGCGATTTGAACATTCTTTTTTTCAGTAAAAATACCTCAAACCCAAAATCTTTACCTGCCTTTCTTATAGAAACAGACTGTGGGGCCTTTTAATCTGAGAGTAAAACAAGTTCACCAATAGTAATGGGCCTCCTAGTTCTTCCAATTCCCTTCATATTTATATCAATTTATTGTTTCATTCCACTGGTGTCAGCAGTTATTTCTTATGTGTACTACTTTTTTTCACCTGCTGGATTTCAGCAAGGGGCTAAGTCTACTTACAAAGAGCAGTGATAAAAGAGAATACAAAGATGACTAAAAAGATGACTAAAAAATACCTTGGTTAATAACACTAACTTCACATGAGACAATCTCAAAGCTTACAAGGTCTCCTGTTCCTTGCCTCAGTTTAGACAGCTTGTCTAAAAAAACCAAAATCCAGGCTGAGCAATGAAGTCATTTATCAGGTGCATGGAACTACAGTCTTGAGGGTGAGAGAAATTACAAGATCACTGATTTATAACACAACTTTATAAATATTTACCTTGTTCTTCTAAATTCTTTTCATCATTTATGTTAATGTTCAAAGAGTCAAGAAATCATTCAGTCATCTCATGGACACTGTACAATAGGCATTATAGATTTGGATATGTACATTCTGTAGTAAAGAAGTTTTGCAAATCATCAGTTGTCCAGAGTTGCCCCTCATGGCAACTTATCTGCTTAGTAGTACTAAAGCCAGAGACATACTGTTGGAAGTGTTGCAGTCTACAGTGCTTCCATAAGCTGTGCCTGCCCTGGAGCCACATACATGGTGTTTTCTGGGGAATAATCACATCATATGCAGTGCAGGTTTTCACAGCTGAACCCCATTGCTATGTTTCCATGCCATTCCCTAAGGACACCATAACTCAAGGATGTGGAAGAGCTTTGCTCTTGTCTACCCATGTGTTCCTGTTCCACCAGTAGGTATTGCAGTTATTTGAGATCTTTGAGACAAGACTATATTTCTGCTAGGCTTCTTCATATAAATAACTTGCAGCCAGTCACTAGTGCTGTTCCCCAAAATGTGAACTTAGAACCTCAAGCTGAAAGATTTTTACATCCAAGTGTCACTGCCTCACCTCCATGTGCTTCTATTTCTCAGTGTTACCATTGTCATCCTTCCTAGTCTTTTTCATTCTTTCAGAGGTGCTCTGTGTTGCTTCTGATTAAACGTAACAGCAATAGCCTGGCAGTAAAGAGAACAGCATCAGTTCATGCAGAGCCAGCAGCAGAGGAGAGCCAACAGGCTGCAGGAGGTCTGTGCTGCTTCTTGACAGAGCCTCCTGTTTGCCAGCCCATATATGGTTTTTGTCCAAGCATCCAGTTCCACGCCAGGCTCTCTAAACATTTATCAACATTTGTATGTGTTATTCTGCACCATTCTGGAAAATATGCTATGCTCTACCCAGTCACCAGTACTCTTATACTAACAACTGTATTTTGTAAAAGCACAGTGAAAGCTGTAATTAGAAGTCCAGTATTCCTAGTTTGAGAGTCATGGCACAAAAAAATCTTGTTGTGCACATAAGATGATTTTAGTAATTTTTTTAAACAGCACTGTTACACCACCTTAACATTTTTTGCATATGTTTCCTATTTATTCTTTAGATTTTGATTATTTTGTTGGTACCTACCATAGCAGAGTCATCATTCATGTTTGAATTCCTATGCACTTCTAGAAGTTTTTAGCCATCACTTCCCTCTCAGTGGGTGTCCTCAGCTAATTATGTGCTCCTTCTCTGCTTTTATTATATGAGATCAGATTATTTTCACTCTCATCTGAATCTTCCGTTGGACACCTAAAGGAAACTCACTAAGAGATGTTGCCTCTCCCTAGACACCACGCTTCTTTTGTGCCATTTTAACTCCATTAAAAAAAAAGAAAAGAAATCAGTGTTGCAGTGAAAGAACAGACACTTCAAAACAGAAGTCACTGCACTATGTGATGTGATCATACAAATAATCCATAAATGGATTGTTTTCCTTGGTTTAACAAAACCCAGATGAACTGGAGAAGTCTGACCTCCATTCAAGATCAGACAATATTTACTTCTAGTGAAATTAATTATTTCTACTTTCAAACAATCTTGTCAATATTTCTCTTCACCAATGTGTTGTAATTCATCATCTCCTTTTTTTTACTCCTTGCCCTACCATTTGGTAAACCTGTAATTGTAACAGAAAAAGAGTATCTGGAATATTATTTAAAAAAATAATGGTCATTTTATCAGCAGGTGAAAATCACTGCTGGTTCCTTAAAATTGAACTATCCTTTTGTCAAGTTACAAGAGCTTCCAAAACTATAAAAACTGTCAATATCTCAGCCCATGTCTAAAACAGCCAGGGGCCACATTTCCCTGGTGAGGGCATATTGTAGAAAGCCTCCATTCACCATAGGATATACAGCATAAAAACTCATACCAGGTCAAGCCAACCTCCCCTGTTCCACACATGAGCCTAAGCAGTAGAGGACACATTTACAGGAAGCTGTGGATATAGACAAGACACAATAACGACCTCCAAGGGTACTTTCCCATCCTCTTGTATGCCCAAGTGAGTATTTCTGCATTCCCTGAGTTTGTCACCAAGCAGATCAACCTTGGTAGAGTCTACTCAATAGCTGAAATCTAACCACCAAGCCTTGCTATGTTCCCCTGAATATTGGAGAGTAGGATGCTTGTTTAGGATTAAAAAAATTGAAATCCTTACTTTAGGATTGCTCAATATTCATTGCAGTGAATTAGGAGTTTGATCTCAATTGCCAGGTCTGCCCTTTTCTCCCGTCCTCATCTCCATAGCTGTATTTCATCTTCCCCAGTTTCTTTCCCAAATCTGTGGACTTCTCATTACTGTAGGGTTTGTCCATGTCTCACAAGGGATGGTTTCATGCCCAAGTACTCCCATGTAACTGGCTCAGGCAATGATATCAGAGCACTGAAGATAATAATCTCCACTTGGGTGGCTCTGGGGTAGCCATTCTAGCACATATGCTGCCTCTGTGAATGGCTTGTGCAACTATGCTCAAATCTTGATTTCCTATCCTTACCTTTCGTTAGTGGGTCCCCGGAGAGGAAAGTAGCCACACTTCCCTGCCACCTGCTCTTTGTTCCTGGAGGCTCATTTCACTTCAGGAAACTATCCCGTGCCAATTCCCCACAAGCAATGTCTCAGTTCAGCCCTATGTTCTTAGTCCACATCGGCTATCTGTGAGAACAAGTTTTTAATCTCTCTGGGGCAGGAAAAGTTTTCTCAGCAATTTCACAGCTGTATATATACTTTGGAGTGCTCTACAAATACAGCTCTAAATCTCAGCATTTAAGAGAGATGGTAGAGCATGTATTACAAGAAGTAACAGAAGGGCACGATAGCAGAGCTGCTGCTATTCATTCCCCAGCTCATCCACAGAGCAGAGAATTGGGTGGCTCTCACACCTGAGCTGCAAAACTACTCCTCATCCCAATCCAGCTTTGAATGCATTTTTATTTTCATAACTAAATTGTTCCACTGTGTTCCACCTTTTGCATTTTCACTGTGTCCCTCAAGAGGCAAACCTCCCCATGGGAGTGCTCACAGGAATGCACAGCACATGGGGCAAAAACTGTAGGCCTGTTGAGCTCAAGCCTTATCAAAGGCCAAAAAGCTACCTTGACAAAGCTGCTCTATGGCAATTTCTAAAGTAGTTTCCTGGGTAGTTTCTTTAGCTACTCTAAGCATAAACAGGCATCTCAGATGGGACTTAAACCCACTTCTTATTTTTCCAAGGAATTTGGATTTTGTGGTTGTTTATGCTCCTTCTTACCCTGCTCCAGCAACTAAGCCAATTCTTGTAGTCATTCTCCAGTGTTCTTGGCACTCAAACAGCCCAGATGCCAAGCTCTGAATTCTCATTTTCTTCCCCTGCCTACTATAGCAGCAACATCTGCGCCTGTGGTTACTTCCTGGCTGGCCTCTTATCAAGGCTTCTCCTCCGACTTTGTGGCTGGCTCCAGTGCTGTTTGTGATGACAGCTGTTGCACTGGTGCAGAACCAGCCATCTGGTGACCGACTTGTCCTCTTGGACACTATTTTCTTCCAGCTGTCAGGAATTTACTGTTGGACTGGAAATAATTTGGTATGTAAATACATACTTCATGATATCCAAGTTATTACTTTCATGGGCAATTCAGTGGTCCCATCACAATTCCCTTATCTGAGTGCAACCACAACCACCTCTCTTCCCTCAGTATGGGGAGGGGGTGGGTATGATCACTCAAGCCCAATAAACTTTTCAACAGTTTCAGGCCAACAAGTATGCTCTTTTGGTCCTTTAGATTTAATAAACCCTCCCCAGCATGCCCATACATTGTTCTCCAGCAAGGGCAATACAGTTCACCCCAGACTGCTGCTTTTCTGAACTCTGAAGAGATTTTCACCATTTACCTCATGCTGTTATCAGTCACTCCTAGCTGGCCTGTCCCAGAGGCATGCTGCTGACAGAGGCTGCTTGCTCCCTCTGAGCATCATGCCTCTGATCTGCAGCCTCCTTACCACTGCCTCCCAGATCCATAGTGACAGCCAAGGGCCTTGTTAATGTCCCTCTTCCCCCAGGCAGATAGAAAAACAGAGGGTCTGCTGCTCAAGAATGCATGTTGCATTTAATCTTTTTCCCCCAGTGCATAATTTTTTTTATTGGACTAAAAATTTACAAATTTATGATAGCATGTGTTTTCTAGCTATGGCTCCTTAAGACTGTTAACCTAACAATTATCCTGCCAGCTATAGTTGTACAATCTTTTCTATTCACATCTCTAATCTGACATTTAATCATCTCATTTGCTCCATTAAGACTTGATGTAAGCAAGTCCAGAAAATTATTTTAGGTGTTTTCTCACATTGGGATTCTAATGTGATCCTTTATCCATCAGTGGTACAATCAAGGTATTCCATTCTACAGCAGAAAAAAATTCAATCTTCTAAATACAAACATAAGCAGCCACATTATTCCATTCTGCTTCGTAGTGGAAGCAATTTTCCTCAAGATGTCCTGGTGATGTTTTCTCTGATACCTAACACTTCATAAAGGTGAGCTTTTTGTTTTGAGGGGTTTAGATTTTAACTGACTTTGGGGGAATGCAGAGTTCATTCAGTACATGTAGAGCAGAACAGCAATAATTCACAATCAAAAGTTAATTTGCAGGTCAGGAATTGCTATATAAATTTAAATTTATTTCAACTTCATTCCCCTGAGGCAATAGCTTTATTCACCACCACCAAATGTTTTCCTGGTGGAGCTGCAGAAGATTATTTCCGCCCTGCAACTACTAGGAGAAAATTAAAGAAAGATGCACAAAAGTGAAGAATGTAAAAGTGCCATTGTGGATACTTGCATTTCAAGAAAAGAAGGACAACAAAAATTGAACTGTTAAACTCTCCATTTAATGTAAAAAAGCATACCTTTCCCCACAGGAGTATAGCAGGATTTACTGTGGTTTTACAAGCTCCATTTCACCTCTTTCTTAGGAGAGGAATTAATTTTTCAGCCAAATAGCCTGTTCCCTTCTCCACACCCTCTCCAAATGCATGGCTGAGTTCTCAGCAGCAGCACAGAGCTCTTGCAGCCTCCTCAGTCATTGGTATAATTCAGGCAATCCCCAAAGCTAATACAGAGCGTGCTGCAGCCCAACCCTGCTGCACCCCTCTTGTGCCAGTGTCTGCTGCTTCTACCACGCAGAGCTGATAATTGTCCAGCCTGTGCCAAGGAAGTTCAGCCTTGATGGACTCACAGCTCTTTGACTAATGCCCTACACTTTTAACATGGTGTTACAAAGGCTCCAAGGGTGTAAGATTATTACTTTTAAATTCTCCACAATTAGTAACAGACAGCAGCAGAGCAAGAACACTTGCTGCTCAGGGTGATTGAAGGGTTCTTTTTTGCCTCACAAGAAACCCATGAAGAGAAAACAGCAAATGGAGATAAGCTGGGACTTCATGCAGCAGTTGGGTTGAAGTGTTTTTGAGGCACAGACCATGCAAGCACACTGTCAGTTTCGAAGCCTCACCAGAAATGTAGTCTGAGCTCTGCACGGCTCTGTTCCTTCCAGCTGGCCCTTGGCAACCTGCTTTCCTGCCTTTGTAACCCCTCTCTCCCCAGCCTCTGTGTCGTAACACACTGGTAACAATAACATTTCTGAAATCAAAATGTTTTGCAGGCCAAAAAGCTGAGCTCAATCAACGCAGGGGGAAAGCAAACCACGGAGAGCTATTGTTTCTGAAAACCATCCAAAAACTCTTGGCGCTTCAAGGCATTCCCAATGTCCTTTGCACTATTTCCAGGAAAAATGATTCCCAAGGCCTTGCATATTAAAAAAGAAATCTGGCTTATATCAATAAACATGATAACTGCTGTATTTTTTCTCTTTAATCAGAACACAGCTAGCATGTAGAAGCAGTCAGAGCTGAGTCAAATAGCCTGTTTTAAGTGTAGCATTTCAAAACTCTCATTCTCTGTTGAGAAGTGTAAATTAACTCCTGGGACTCCTGAACCTGGGCTTTGACTACATTTATGTCACGCAAATTCTTGAAGAAAATTTGTGGGCTGATGTTGGTGGAGTAAGTGGTAGATAAGGCAGAAAGGCAGTTTTTCTGACCAAACAAAACTTACTGAACTCACTGTGCTGTGGCAAAAGCAGTACCTGCACCAGTGCTTGGTCTGCAAGCCTAGAAACCGGATTGCTGGTTCTGATCTCAAATCCCAACATGCTGACATCCAGCAAGTCATTCAAAGCTCAGTGGGGTTGCAGGAGGAGGTTAAAGGATTTGGAGGAGATGAGAAGTCCATCTACATTCCTGACACAGGAAATCCAATTCGCAATTCAAATGTAAATGAAGTTAGACTCCACATATCTGGTCCAGAACAGTATCATGGTTAAAAACATTGAATCAGAAACAAACCATTGGCAATCACCACAGAATCACTGCTATATATTGTTTTAGTATTGTTTTAGTGTTGTTATTGCACAACACCCGCTGTGCGATATAATAAGAGTATTGCACTTATAATCCAATACAATCAAGCAAGAACTTACAGACATCCCTTGTTCAGGATAATAAAATACATTGTCTCATTTTAGCTATTCAGAGAGCTCACTAGTTTATAGCTGTTCTTGCAGTGTTACATAGCAAAAAAAAAAAAAGCTTTGACTGTCCCTGTTCCTATCCACAGGGTCTCAGGTAGGTGGCTTGATGAAGAATTTATGAATGAAATCTTAGAGGATCAGGTGTAATTAAGGAAAAGGAAATAAAGGATAGAAAAGGAAATAAAGGATAGTCTTTAGGTTTAGCAAACGTGTTAATAGACAAGTGGCCCAAACTGTATAAGCTATATTTACCCACTGCTTGCTCCAAGAATCCTATTCTGAAGATATAAGCAAGAATCTAGTATCCCTATAAAAACAGTGAGAAGCTTATGGCTAGTTTTCAGATTTCACACCACATGCTGTCTCTACCACAGTCTCATAGAACAGCCACTTCATGGGAAGGCACTGTGTGATGAAACAGTCTTTGGGGTACATTTCATGAAAACAGATAAATTATGGGTTAGGGAATTTTGTTTTGGGAGTTTTTTCCAAGCATATGGTACACTTTATGAAATTCTATCTCGCGTCTCTGTCACCTCTCTACCTATTACACTTTCCAATATTTCCAAATTTCCAAAATTAAAATTAACTTTACTGCAATATTCAACATGGGTATTTTATTTTCAGAATGACTGTGAAGCCTTTTACATGCCATGGAAAATGAAAGAACAAAGATCTACTAACAACAAAACAGTTTAATTTCCTCCAACCCTGTGATTTCACAAATATTGTTAAAAATACATAATCAATCCATTAGTCAGGGTCAGGGCAAAGGATTATGTCACGAGGTTGGATTTTGTTTTGTTTTAGTTTGAGTTGGGTTTTTTTTATTAACAGCTTTGTAGCTGCTCTACTTCAAAAATTTCAACCTCAAAATCATGTGGCCAAGTACTGGGAAAACCCCATTTAGCTATGAACTATCTGTGCATGGATAAGACAGGTTTCTTGATGTAGTAGCTAATCCCAACACTGGCAATCCCTGTTGGCATTGCTGGGTAATGGGATTCCCATGCTTGAGGTGTTAAAGCCTTTGGGACATCTCAGTTACTGGAGCTAAGAGAATAAACTCTTTTCTGTTACTGCTTTTATAAATAAAGTCCCCAATTCAGTATTTTCGTGATTTGTCTACAACAAAGTTAACATCACCTTTATGAAGAATGACATTAAGTTGAGAGGCCACTCTGAACCAATGTAGAGCTGAAGGGCTGAAAAAAGCACTCCATCCCTTCAGGAAAGAAATATGGTGCTTTTTTAATGACTAGGAGAAAGCTCAGTTAAGCGTAAAAGTAGACTTCACGTGCATAATAAAGAGTAACAGTGACAAAACCTTGGATTTAATCTCATTTCCGTTCCTCCACTGCAGAGACCCCTGGAAAAGCCGGACGGGCTGGATGTTTCAGATCAGAGCAAAGAGCATCCTCAGCATCTGTGTGAGAAGTGCAAAGTTTTGGGCTACTACTGCCGCCGTGTGCAATAAACCTTCCAAGTGGCCTCTTCCCATTCCCATCATCCTTAAAGATTCTCTGGCAGCATGCGATCCACAGCAACACAACAAATCAAGATAAAAGCTAAAATAATTGCCAATATTGCCTATCTAATAATATGCCTTACTATTAATAGAATGTAACATTTCTCCTGTGCATGTGCACACGTGCAACAGGTATTTACGGGACTATGATCTGTATACATATATATGTAAATGTATATATATATGTACACACACATATATAAAGTGTTATTGATGGTGTTCACAACAGAACTACGGTTACAGGTTCTGCTGATTGTTTACACAGACCCTCTATTACAGCCAGGTGAAATGAAGTACTATTCAAAAGGCAAGGTATAATATTCACAAGGAATATATGTTTTACGTATGGCTTTTGCAGAGGTTCAATAACTGTGGGGCCACTAATTCCAAGCACTCACCCACAATGTCAACATTGTTCTTATTATATGACAAGACAAAGGAAGATGAAACAAGCCACAGCATAAAAGGAGAATTATTGTTTCCCCAGTTTTAGAAAGTCTTAGAATTTTGTGCTGCTGTTTTCTTGGACTTTTTCTTGTTGTTACCATCTCTTGGGCAAGGCTTAGGCAAAATCATTTTTGCAGAACATGGCAAAAAAAGTGAATAATTGTTTGAGGGTGTGAGTTTGGTAGAAAGGGAATACCATAATGGGACCCAGAGCATTGGGAAGGATTCCAAGAGGTTTTTGGAGGAGAAGAAATTGGCTTGCTTGTGCAACAGATCCTTCTCTTGTCATATAATCCCACTGAAATGGTCCCTGTGTGTGCATGGCTTGTTCATTAGGCCACAAACACACTAAATTTTCTATGAACAAGGGGATAAGAATACTTAAAACTGTCTCTAAAACCCTTAATTGAAAGATTAGCCAAGCTTACTATTTATAGTAGTTTTAAAGCCACTTTCTGGAAATATTTTTGTCCTGTTTACTGCCATAGAAATTTGTTATAATATGAAACTTGTTAGCCATAGGGGTGTTTTGAGGCATGGAAAAACTATATAACCCTCCCTCTTTCTGTCTTCCTGAAGCACCTACACGGCTGAGGAGAAATGTAGGAGTTATATTTTGTTGTCCCATTTCGGGTAGAACCTTGTGCAGGGGCATCCTGCTGCAAAGAAGCATTTCATCAGGGATTGGCAAATATGAACTGAAAGTACCTTGAAACAGTATCCTCTTTGTATGTCTACATAAGAGTACATTGGCAGAAGGACACAACAAGCAATTCACTTGTAGCATTCACTAAAAAATTACAGGGATAACGTTTGTTTGAGATTGGGGGTTCTTTTACATCAACAATTTCTATTTTTATGAAGTTTCCTTTAGAGAGATTGATTTGTGTGAATGATACTTAGAGAAAATACTTTAAATCCTAAATAACTTGATGTGAACTGAATTTGTTCTGAGGACTAATTCCATAATGCAAAGACAGAGGGGAGTTTATGCCAAGTGATAGCAGGATGTTACCTGTATGTCCAGTCAAGCTCTTATAAAGCAAGTTGAAAACTTACTGCAAGCATTCATATAGGAAATGGGAAGCTCTTTACAAATTTGCTCTAGGGTGAAACTGGTCATTTCCCTGCTTTGCTATAAGCAGGGCAGAATTGCATCTGCTTATTGTGGTGGGAGTGGCACATACATATCTCGCAAATTCATAATTAATGGGTAGGCCAGGCAACACAGCAATGGAGCATAATATGGAGCAATGGATAAGCATTCTGACCCCCAGCTTCTGACCACAGCTCTTCCATTAGCTCCCTGATTTTGGGCAAGACACAAGATCATTCTGGACCTCAGTTTCCCCAGCTGCAAAATGGGGATAATAATACTTTAGTATACCTACCTCACAGGAGAGTTGTGAGGTTTACTTAATATCTCTAAGTATTTTGGCATCACTGGATGAAAAGTGCTATGTAATGCTAAAATAGTATTAACTAAATTAATTACTTGGAAACTACTTTTGCCCAGTTGGCAATTCCATCAACTAAAATAGCTGCAAATTATTTTATTGAAAGTAACACTAATAAACAGTTTAGTTGCCTCAGTGAAGACATGCAGTTTTAGCATTTTCAAATGCAAACGCATTCTTTTGCACAGATTCACAAATTACCTTAGAGACAAATTCTCTCAACAAAGATACTAATCTGTCTATACAAATAAGAATAAGAAAATACACAAGCAAATCTAGGGGTGGATTTTGTAAGCTTGACCTCTAGGATTAATCTCAATAGTTTGTTTCAAGCATGAGTAATTTTGAAAGAGCAGCATTCTAAACCAGATCTATTTTTTCCTCTTGAGCACTTAATAGTACATGAACAAAAAAAAAAAAAAAAAAATCTTGATTCACATCCAGCTAAAGGATGTGCAGAGAAACCCACTTAGATGAAGGGAAAATGTTATTTTTTTTTCTCCTTGAAACTAAGATGTTGCTATCAAATGTTTTGTTCTGTATTGAAATAGTTTCCATGTTATGATAACCACTAGATCAGTAAAATAGCACAACCCTTGATATAGCTGTATCAATGTATTGCACACCACCAGGTTTGACAAAAAGCTGACTAAAGATACCATTATGAGCAAGTGCTGGTATTTTCATGACAGTGCCCTGTTAAAAATTTTTTATCCACATTCAACACTGTAAGGCAATGCCTTAAGCTTATGGATTTTTAGATTCTACTAAAAATACACGTGATCTACTTTAACACAATTAATGTCTATAGGTGTAGCATAATAACTCTTAAGAGCATACTTACGAGAGTTCAGTATTTATATCACTGATATGTTCTTAGTCAGAAGACATATAAAGTATTTAAGTAATACTTAGCATATTTGCAATAAAGAGGAGAACAGATTTTCCCCCGCACTAACATGGGGGAAAAGTAAATAAGGAACACAGTGTGAGGAAGAGCAAAAGCAACACTGCCGTAGTTTGTACTGCCTAAGTCGGAGATCGCGGATCCCTCCCAGAGCGGGATGCAGATGTGATCAGGCCTTGGGCACCTCCCTGCACAGGGCTGAAACCTCTCTCCCTAACAAGCTGGTGCCTGGGAAAGGCAGGAGCACCAAGCTCATGCGAGGGGAGCATTCCTCTGTCCCTCCCTGCATGAGGTTTGCTCATAGGTTTGCAGCACTGGGCCTGGGGCGTTTGCTCCACACTCAAGTCTGTGTAGTTTGTGAGTTGCTGGAAAAATACATCTGCATAAGTCATGTATAACAGCTTATGACCTATTGGCTTTTAGCTAATGGCACAGAAGGGACATTTCTGAATTTCAAAGGGAAAATATATTTGATTACAAAATGTAGATCTCTTCTATTCCCTCCCTCCCCTCAAAGGTAATTCACCTATAGATGTAACTAACTTTCCAAAATTTAAAAATTCAGATTTTTGACAGGAAAAAAAAAGGAGTTGATTTTTCTTAAGTTTTTGTGAATGCTTCCTGATGTTCTCTTTAACTAGCTCTACATTTAGAACATCAGCTAGCAATCCTTGAAGGCATTTGTAGACAGTCTTAGCAGAGGTGAAGCAAGCATCAACAGAGTTTTAAACCAAAACAGGCCTCCCTAAATTGCATATTCTTTAGGGATGTACCTGAGAGCAATCTGGCTCTATGCATTTATTTGGCAAACTGGATTTTTAACCTCAGATGCTTGCTGTTGACAGCCTACCAATCCATCCAGCACACACTTTCTTTTTTTCGATTTCACCCCTTTTTAGAGATTTTTTCAACTTTCATTTATTTCTTTACAAAAAAAAAGAAAAAAGAGACAAAGAAACAAAATGACAATTTGTTTCATGAGTTGGTCAGAACATTTCACGTTGAATTGTCCTTGGCATTGGCACTGCTCTGGAGAAAAGTACCAGTAATTTGAAATGTGTGTTGTAGGTTAGCTGCTTTAACTTGATGAGGCTCCAATGAAGTTGTTACAAATACTTCATTTAATGGTCATGAAGTAAAATCCCTGTAGTTCAAAGGATGGGCCCATTTTAGCCAGTTTCTACTGCTGCTACCACAAACATAAAATGATGCCACACAAGCAAAGTTTGAGGCCTTTTTGTCTCAAAGTTGCTTTTTGATTTCAGATAAATACACAAGAGTATATATTATTTCTGAAAATAGGTGTATTTTGAAGTTCCCCATTATATGGGACTTAGTTTTTAAACTAAAAATGTGAAGTTACGTGTGTCTGAGAGAAGCCTTATACCTAGAAGTATTATCTACGTTTTACCTTTTTGTATAACGTGAAATTTAGATTATACATGGGTTACATACTGTGACACTCTAGTTTGTTTTTTTTTAAAAAAAAAAACTACTTAAAAGATCAAAAGTTAACAGCTTCTGGAAATGTCAGACTTCCTAGATTAGTGCTCTTTGTCCTGAAGTCATGCAGAAGATTTTTTTTTTCCTAGTTTGGATCCTGAGAGTTGTCTACTGAACAGTATGAAATAAATCATCCACACGTGTTTTTCAAGTTAAGTAGATTGACATATATTTTCCACTTGCCTTTGCCAACATATTTTAAAATGAGATGGAACTATCCCCATACAAAAATCATTCTTTCAGATATCACTCCACTCCCAACCAGGCTTCAACCCGTATCTCTTTCCTATCTGCAAAACCAGTGCTGTCCATTCAGTTTGTCATATCACTCAAGTGCTCAGAGGGCTGTTTGAGATCTTAGATATAGGGATGATGGATTGTGTTTCTAGGATGAATTTCAAAGGGACAATCGTGTGCAGTTACTAGCTATAGATGATTGATATAAATGTTTACCCCTGTATGAAGTATTTTACAGTTTTACTTGCAGATGTGTATTTATCTTGAGTTATACTTGACATAGAGTTTCTTTCAATTTTTTTTTTAATCCTATGTGTGTATTTTGGAAACCTTTTTAGATGTTAAAATTTTTGAATGGTTACAAATATTTCTTATAATACTGAATTGTTATCTTATCTGGAAACTCTTTGCAGTAACTTTTTTGTATATATTTGAGGGCCTTTTTTAAAAAGTATTGTTTGTTTTTTGGGCAAAGTTTTTAAAATTTGGAAGCTTTCAGAAGGGCCTTTCTCTCAACTAGGATACTAACAGAGGTAAGAGTTTTCTTAAATATTTTGCAGTATTTTGCAGAACTAAGGATGTATCCTCAAGAAAATATTTATGGAAATAATTTACTTTTTTTTTTTACAATGCTTTTGTCTGTATAAAGTATGCAACAGAACTACATTAAGAAGGAAATATTGTCTACATAAAATATTATATGAAAGTTGGTACATAATTCTGACAAAAAAACCTTGCAATTCTTTAAGCCATATTGTTTTTGTTATCCTTGGATGAAAATATCAGTATTAAGTAACCAGTATATTATTCAAGTGCTTAGACTTATATGAAAATGCTTATACAGTTTATTTATGTGTATTTGGGGAAGGATTGCTAGAAGAGCTATCACTAGACATGTAGCAAGTGAGGAGCAAATAACAGTAAACTGTCACTTTATGGCCTTGTGAGAGACACAAAAAACACTGAAAGCACCGCAGAGACGCAGCTTTCAGAAACTCCGAAGCACAAGTGTTGGGTTTCAAATGGTGGTTCTTTCCTTTCCCATAACCAGAGGGGAAGAAAGTTGTTTGGGACACTGTTTAACTTGACTTTCACAACTCTTTGCAAACTGTGAGCTCAGCTATGCAGTATCGGCTACAGCAATAATATCAATCAAAGGGTGTAAGAAGAAAAAGATTGAAGTAGATTATTGTAGGGGTTTATGTTTATTTTAATTAGAACTCATAGCAATATAGAATATGCATGTGCACGTATTCGAAGCATTTTACACTTTACATTTCATGTAGTTTGATTATATTATGAAGGATTGAGTTTTTAGTTTGATATTTTACCATGCTAAAATGGGAGGTCTGCCCAACCCTGTACTGGATTCTTGTTTTCTTTAAAAGGTTATTTAGTACAGCACTCACTGCATTGTCTAATAGTCCTAAAACTAACACTATCTTATGAATTTCTTCAGCTTTAAAAAAATTAACCTAATGATTATTACATTTGTTTAGCTGTACCCACTGACCTTGTCAGATTCAGTTGGCAATTTATGTAATTTCTTTTTCTGTAACTGTTAATAAACTTGTACAGCTAAAACAAACAAACAAAACCAATGGACAAAGGCCTCAGAGGTACCAGTTCTGCTTCAGCAATCAAGATGACAGCTTGCTCATCTGGTGACTGTGTTGCTAAAGAGACTGTAAAACCTCTGTTGTGGATTGTCCATAAAATGGCATTCCGACATGTGCCTTATTTGCTGGATAGTATACAGCTTTCTTCTAGTATTCTAGCAGTTTAATGCTGTATTAAAGTACTGCAAAAAAAACAGCAAGTGTGGTATGGTTTTCTTCAACGTCCCTTCCTTCGACATTTTACTCGCAGCTGCGCTGGGTTCCTGGTTATGGACTGGCAGCCACAGTGTGGTGCTTGCAGTGCAAACCCCGGCATAACCGTGACCCAGAGCATGGGGAGAAGAGTTTCTCCACTGCAGGGAGTCCCCGTGCTGCAACAAGCCTGGTCACATCCAGTGAGGGCTCTTCACTGCCAGTGGGACAGCTTGGGTTAATGGTGCCAGCTCTTAGTTTTTAGCAGCCTGGTGTTGTCTAGCATTATTCTCAAGGAAAAACCTTCTATAATCAAAGTACACCTGTGGCCTTTAGTTAGATGGGAAAGCTTAGGTGCCAGAAAGTTGCTATAATGAAAAATAACATTCATCATTCTTGGTGAACTGCACGAGTTGGCAAGAACTAGACGTATTGAATGCTTGTTGCTTATTAGCAATGCTCTTCTCACATCCCCAGTCAAAGTTCAGTGACAAGCAGTTTTTCTACTGAGACTGCTAATACTGTAGCGCTTGAAAGTTAAAATAAGGGTGTCATGAAATTAACTTTGGAATTTAGGTATCCTGCCTCTAACATAAGAAATCCCCTTCATTTAAAACAAGCAGAAAATTTTTACTAGACACACCAGCACACAGTTCTTCTATGCATGATCATCCCTACAAATGCTTTATATTTGCACCTTGAAGGTCATTTACTACACCATTTGTATCACGTAGCACACCTGATATCTGGGAAGGTTTGAGTCCTCTTCTCATTCAGTCCACATGAGAGAGAGCAAAAACATGTCCACATGTTTGCTCATGGGTATGCAATGGTGGGGGAAGAGGTTGGCAAGGAATTGTACAATTCTGAAGCCTTGAAAACAGTGACTATTTCATCAAATGATCAAAGACATCCCCCAGCTGAGCCCCATGGAAAGGGAAAGCACATATTCAGAGCTACTTGGTGAATTTTTGTTTGAAAAACAAAACATACTGCTGTTCACTATAAAGTTTGTCTCTAGCACTGTTCCCATAGCATACACAAGGTGCAAAGCCAAGCTCAGAACTGAAATACATCTTTCCATCAGAAGCCTTGGGGGCTCCCCAAACACCAGGACCTCAGATTCAGCACTCAACTGAGACAAGAAGAAATGCTGAGAACAACTGCAAAGTCCTAGCTCCCTATTACCACATTTTCTACAATTCCTCAAAGAAATAACTTCATATTTAAAACAAGAATAGATTAACACAAACAATATGACTTAAAAATGGCCAAACTACTCTTCCCTCATTTTTCATTGCCAAGGGCTTCGCCTTCCTGCTCTGTGTGAATGAGGTCAAGAGACAATGCAACAACCCACTTGTAATAGGAGGGCCAAAAAATTCCCACTTAAGAAAAATAATAGGGCTTTCATAACAGGGATTTCACATAACATTAATTCTTTGAAATAAAAAGCTGTTTCATTATTCTTCATGGAAAACCAATTTAAACAGCACACCAAGGTTACCATTTTTCAAGTTAGTTATATCACACCAAACGCCCAGTCTCGGATCCGACAAGTTATATTAGCAGGTATTATTAGTATATTAGCAGGTGTACAAACTGGACCTTACATCCCAATGATGAATGACAAACTGACATAATCTGAATGACACTTGCATAATCTCACTCAGGGCTTCCATACACCAATTATTCACTGCCATATATCACAGTCAAATGTTAAAAAGGCTCCTCCTTTCTCCACACCCCTATGAAAAAGTCTGTACACAAAAGACATGGGCAAGAGAAGAAGGAACCTAAAACACAAGGAGTTGAATGATGACAGTCAGGTCTTTCCACTAAGAACCAGAAAAACAAGAACTAAATAAATTCTTAACTGGAACATGTAGAATCCTTACTTCTGAGAAACATGTAGTATGTAGTTTGTGATCCTGAAAAACCAATGCAACATTCAGCTTTGCTTTCTCTAGTATTCACCTTCTAATCGTTGAGAAACGGATCATTTGGCAGCTCCTGTGTGGGTAACACCAGCTATCGCACCCACACCTACTCACTGAGCACTTTTGTTTTACTGAAAGTAACGCAATTCCTCTTCCTCACCACCTGTATCTCAAATACACTTCAGAGAGCAACCAAACCCAGGAAACTGGTCATGAGACAGCCTACCAAACCTGCAAAACCTCATTCAAACAACACAGATCACACAAAACGTACCTCTGACAAACCCGAGGCAAACTTCATGAGGTGTTTCTAATAACTGAATGTGCCAAGACCTACCTCAGTCAACATTTATTGTGTCCTTGTCCAAAAGGTCAAAACCAAAGTGGAGGCAGTGACATTCGTGAGGTGTTAGAGCATCCCTGACATGCAGCCTGGGGTAGCAGAGAGGGCGAACACAGCTCTGCAAGAGAAAAGACCAGCATCAGCCAGCCCTGTTTAAAGCACTGCCCAGGCACACAGCTCTGAGGCTGATGAGACCTGAAGCAGCAGTAACTCTGGGCATTCTTTGGAGACTTTGCTTCTATGCCATGAACTTAGCTAAATAAAAATACAGTAATTCCTTTTTTCCTTTTTTTTTTAAGAGGTTAAAATGGAGTTTGTATGCCCAGCAAACCCAACCAAATGCCATGCCAACAGGGAAAGCAAATTATAGCCAAGAACTTTATGTGTGTTTTAAGTGGAGTAGGGTTTAAGCCAAAGATTTCCTTTTAATTTCTACTCTAGCCTTCTTTTCACCAGCTGAGTACAGAGAAAGCCAAAATACTGTAAGAAAGCTTTCTCTTGCACAATTTCTGAACACATCTAAGCAGCAGGTATGGGAAATCTAATTCCAGTCAGCTTTCCACAAAGTTTCCTTACAGTTTTGCAACATAAGAAGGTACAGCTCAAAGGACTTCCAAGGAGTCAGACATACGTAAGCTCTGCTTGATTTCAAGCAGCAAACCTTGAAGGAACAATGCAAGAAAACACTGCAGAAATAATAGGAAGCAAGACCTCAAAACTCACTGCTTGCAAACAATGATAAACAGACAAATACTAGTGGCATAGGAAAAAAAAAAAGCTTTGTTGAGTACCATCAGGTAGAAGATCAGAGCTGACACTCACAGCCCCTAGAAAGGGCCTCCTTTCCCTCCACCTCACTTATATTGGCTACTTGCCCTGATTGCTGAGGGCTCCATCTGTGCTGGCCAGCTGTGTCTGGGGGTGGGGAGGGGATGGAGGGAATTGGGGGGTGGGCACCAGCTCCTTCCCAGGTGCAGGGGCTTCCTGCCTGGCTATGCCTGCTGCAGCACAAACCCAAGCAGCCCCCTCCAACAGGGTTACAAAAAAAAGAGCAAAGACATCAGTGCCATGACCAGGAATCCTCACTGGCTGCTGGGAGGAGAGGCACAGTACAAATTCACATCTAGGAGAGGCAAATAACTCTCATTTTAATGTTCACAGTAACTGAAATAGCAACACAGCTAAGTACTAAGCAGCTGTAGAAATTTCACCAAGGAATATACAAAGTAAGCTTTGCTGGACTGAAACTTGAATAACACACGTTGTAATGAACCAATTAAAACTACTTTCCAACATATCCTACTAAAGCTTCTGAATGTCTCAGATAATTTTTGAATACACAGTAGTTGCACATAGAAACTATTACCTTGCCCAGCTACTAAGGTGTGGTTACTTCTTCGGATATTTGTCTACCCCATGCGTTTGCATTACTTTAATTAAACTGAAGTAAAAGTGACTGAGTTAAATAACAACAACCAGTACCCCAATCTGAAGGAGTGAAACCAGCTTTATTGAGTTAGTTTTCTGCAGGGAGGTGGACAACAATTCACTGATTCAGAAATAGCAAAAGCAAAACCAAACACAAGTAGTGGCAGACAGAGTCCCTGATGTTCAGTGAAAGACACTCCAAATGGTGCATACTAAATAACAGATTTTAAATTAGCTGGTAGTAGTCAAGAATAAGTGCATGATATTATTTTGGTTTGTTCAACTTAATGTCATAATCATTTAAAAAAGGGTAGACAAACAGAGGATTTGGAAGTAGGGACAAGAAACTAAAGAGAAAACATCGTTATATGAATCTTATCACTTTAAAAGGACAAAACAGAAGTAAAAAAATTCTGGAATGATGAAAGAAAAATTTTTCCCCTGTGAAAAGAGACTGTGCACTGGACCTCCATCTCCTGGAAAAGAGATCACTGAGGGTGGATGTGATAGTGTCCTATAACATAATAAATGACACAAATAAGGGAAGAAATATTAATTGCTTCTACAATGCCTTCCTTCTAGAATAGGCGAATTTTTGATAAAATTATCTGAGGTAACATAATCAAAACAAAAATGTCCCACAGCAGACTGAAAGACATAGTCATGGGATATTCTAGCTGTCAAAAGGATAAATGAGATCAAAACCAATTACGAAACCACATTAAAAAAAAAAATTAAAATTGCTGCAGGGGTTATTAACCAGGAAGCTGTGACCCTGGCTCAGGAAGTCCCTAAGCACAGAAGCAGCCAGCAGTGAGATATGACGCCAGCAGAAGGCTGACTGCCTGTTGCAGGAAAGAAGATATCGGAGTAAATGCTGGTCTGATTGTTGTCCTGGCCCTGAGGACTACTTTTTGTGTGGCAGCAGGAGCTGCAATATGTGAATGTAAGCTGCTTCTAGCTTTCTATGTAAGGCAACACTTGCATGGCACCCAACAGGTACCTGGTGGCTTCCAGGGCAGACTCACACAGACATGCCCAGGGAAATACTCATTAGTTCCCCAGCATTCATGCTTTGGAAGAAGACCTTGTGAGTCATCTACACTACACTCGATTGTTGGCAGGAAACTAATTGAAACTCCACCGTAATTTGTAGCCTACAACTGAATATTGCACTATGGTAGCTGGTTTTTTGGGTTTGGTTTAATTTTTTTTTTTTTCAAAATTCATTGCAGAGACTTCAGTTAAAAAAGCTGGTCCTAATTAGCTGTGTTTGAAGTTATTTTAAATG